ATTATGTGATAACATAAGATCTTAATAAGGTAAGATTCCATAAGACTTATGTCTTGTTTGATTCTTGGGAAACATTAAAAACATCCGAGTTACTTGTGTACGAAGTTGGTATAGTTGAGTTAAGGATTATCCAGATATATCCAATATAGTGTTTGTGTACTTTAAATTGCTAGTTGGATGTTGAGTCGACGCTAAGTGACCCGAGCATATTCTGAGTACTCTAGAGGAGTAGACTAGTCGAGCAAGGACCGATGCTATGTGACCCAAACCTAGCTCAAGGTATAGGGAGACGTTGATGCTTTGTGATATAGGTCTCATCTAAGATTCTTTAGTAAGTAAATAGGGGTGTAAGTCACGTGATGCTAAGTGACCTCGGGCTATGCCACAATGCTTACTTGGTTGTTGTGTTAGTGTATGAAAATGTTCATATATATACTTGCAACATGCTTTTATGTTGGATGCATGTAGTATAGTTTGGTTATTTGTGTGGCACTGAGCTTAAGAGATCATTATATGGAATGTGTTTCCGTGCGCAGGTTCTTAGGTGGCAATTGAGGAGTTCATCACCGGATTTAGGACTTCCAAACTCGATCTTTCATTGGAGTATGTCTCGAATATTATAGAGTGCATGTACTATCATAGACCCTAGATATTTATTTATTTGATTCATAACCTTTATTTTATACTAATATATTTTGGAGACTATTTTCGGGAGCTCCCCCGTATTTACATACTTATGTTCAGTGCTCGTACTATCATTCTAGGCATTTATATTGTGTTCAATTGTTAAAATGGTAAAAAAATTAAAAAAAATGGTTAGCCACATAGGTGGTTTCATGTGACAATCTAATCATCTAGACTTTAGGTCGGATCAAATTAGAGTGTTACAATATCTATACAAAAATTTTCTTTGATGTTTAAAAAAAATACCTTGTTATCGATACCCCTATTGGGAGTATCGTTACTCTACACTCAATATCGATACTCCCATGAGTACCAATACCAAAACGGCCTACTACCCTACAAGTATCGAAACCTGACCATAAGTATCGATACTCTTTGGGTGAGTATTGACACTTCACTTCCAAAACTCTCTCATTTTTAAGCTAGCTAATGAACAATATCAGTACTTCTATTCCAGTACCGATACTCGAACTCAGAAATACCCTATTTAGGCACAAAATGACTCCCAAATCCACCCCAAAAGCCCTATTGAGGTTCCCAAACATTCTTAAAGTTTTATGTATGAAAGAAGGGGCATAATAGGTCTTTACACATGCTAAAAACACCAAATGCTTGAATCTACCATTGATGCTCATTCATGCTTCACAACTCAATACTCGCTAGCTAGATGCATTCTCATGACTCACAAATGGCATAATAGGTCAATTTCTCTTTTTCCCTTAGCCTTGGAGCTTTATCCCACCTCTTTCACTAATTAAAGTCAAGGCAAATGAGTTACTAACTCATTTAGAGGCTTAAAAAGATTAGAAATATGATTTTAAACCTCTAAAAATTGAGTTGGGATTACTAAGGAAACCTAAAGCCCACTTTAAACCCCTACCTAGGCATTTCCATGGTCAAAACTCGTAATATGAGACTTGGATGAAAGCTTTTGATGTTGGGATTTCGTTTCTTACCTTAGAAAATATGAAATGTGATTGAAAGTCTACAAGTTTCCACCTTTGCACAATGTTTGGAAGAGGAAGAGCTATGAGAATGGATAAGATGAAGTAAGGGACAAAGAAAGCTAAAAATGAGGGGAAAAGGAGAGTGGGTAAGAAAATTACATCAATCTCATTAAAACTAATTAAGCCTTTGTTTGAAAAGAGGGTAAAATTGCCTTTTTGGTCATTCCTCTTACATTCAACTATTAAAATGTCCTCTTTTTCTAACACTTGGGTCTAACCCAAGGCCAAGTTCATCTTTAATTTGGTCTAAACTTTACATAGATCTTATGGGCTTAACTAAATAAATCTCGGATTAACTGAAACTATTAATCCGAGACTTGAAACGTTACAAGAGCAATGGAAGTGGACACCCTTATCCCTGCATTTTTATTGGATAAGTTTCTATACTCAACTTCTCCGCTGGGAACTAAAAGATAAACGAAAGAAAAACTAAGATAAATAAATGTTTAATTTTAAAATAAGTAATTAAGCTAGAAATAAATTCCCTTAGGTAATTGGTGGACACTGACAGAACGCCATTAAAGTTGTACTAAATATATATAAAAAAAAAAAAGAAATAACCCAAAATGTGCCATGCCTGAAGTCGGTCAAATTTTGCTATAATATTCTTTATCCCAATTTGTTGATAACGTTGCATAATCTCTCACTAGCACAAATCTTTTATATTTTTGTCTTAAAGAATCATTATGGATAATAGTTCATTTCTTACTTTGTTTGGACTGATGAGACAATTAGGAAAATTGTTTTTATTTGTTGTGATGTCTATAAGATCACTTACAAACATTTTATTATGGCTTATCGGCCTTTACTCGTTTTCAAGAGTTGACCTCCGTTTATTTGTTTTTATTTTATCATTGATGAATACATTTTTCAATGATAATCATATTTTATTTTATTTAGCATTATTTTGTATAATGGTGCAAACGAATTTCGCACTATATTAGTGCTACAAATTGAGATACATTTTCGGTTGACTTTATAGTAAGTGTGTGAAGTATAAATTAAATAATTGATGGATAAAATAGAATACATTAATTTTAGATAAGGATAGTTCGTTAATTTTTAAGATTTTAATATATGGTCTTTTCATTCCAATTCTAGATAATGGTATAGATTTTTCCTCAACCCCATTATCAAGCAGCAGCCCCCACACACTAATGGCACATATTTTTGGCGTCTAAACAAAGAAAAAATTATGCCTAAATATCAGACCGGCGATGGTGCGATATCACAATAATTGATTACCCTTCTAACATAACATGACATGCGTCCTTAAATGCATGCATGCATGGTTAGTAACGTAAACAATTTTGTCATCAATATATGCAGCCATTAACTGTGTGTCCCTATATGCTGATTGAACTGGAGCCATCGGCGAGCATGCATCTATGCATTAACTCCCTTCAACCAACAGAAATGTGGGTACACCTTGAAATCGGGATGTGTCGAACCTACATTCAACCACGTCTCGCTCTCTTAGCTCTCCTGGATTTCGGTTTGCTATGGCGACCTTTGCGTCCAACCGAAATCTACCTGACGCTTCAAGCTCTAATGGGCTCATTCAGTGATGACTCTCTTATTCGTTTTTATGTAGTATGTTCTAGGACTATGTACGTGGAACTAGAATGTTCGACGCTTCCAGTAACCTAATACCCAAGGAATATATATAATATTAACACCAACTAAGTTTCTTTTCTTTTCATATGTATATTTAACTTTTAATTCGTTTTTCTTAAATGAATTTGTGTAAATTATGGATATTTGATATGTTCACTACTAAAACATCAGATCACGTGCCAAAGTATTTTTCAAATACCCTCAAGTTTTTCACCTGCAACTTTTGCGTACATATATATATGAAGAAATCGAAACCAAAGGAAATTTTGGATGCAAATTTCGTGACGTAAAAAATTAAAAAATCCCTTCACCGAATCACAATGGAAATTTATGCATATACAACAATAAAAATAATAAATAATAAAGAGAGATGTCTGCAGATTTGGTCATCAGAGCAATGCTGAAGCCGATACCAAAACATTTCCTCTTACGTCAAAAGAAAAGAAGACGAGTGGGTCTCCCATGTCCAACCCATCCATCTACCTTGGCTTTGCCAATATACAATGCAGATATAGCAATAATATTTTTCTACAATATTATCAATTTGCACTACATGCAGAGCCAGAGGAGACCATATTCTGGAATTTGGATTTGTCTCAAATTTTATCAGCGTCAATGTCATCATTAATACTATGGATATGGCGTGTGACTAAAATCACCAACACCCTAATAAACTTGCAATTTTGCACATCATCATTCACAAGCCCAATGCACCAAAAGAGAAATTCAACCTGGCCATGTTATTGTCACTTGATATTGTATATCAGATTTATCAATGCAATCGAGTTCATTTTTTTAATGTCATGAATAAAAATACAATTTAATCAATTGAATATTATTGTTATTAATGTTCTTGTTATAAGCTGTAGGTTCTGGTACTTTTAAATGTAAATGTCTCCTATTTATATGTTTAATTGAAGATTGACACAACAATGATAGTAAAAAGTTACTTATTTGGAGAACCACATTAAAATACTAATTCCATCTCATATTAAATTTTCACAAATGTCACAATTTCGCCAAAATGTCTATTATTATAATTATTATTAGTTTATACGAGAAAGGAAAAAAGTTATATGTGAATTAAATTTTAGACACGTCTCAATGAAAGGTTTTTCTATTTTTTTTATTCCACAAATGATTCTATTGACTTATTAAAATTATTTTAATCTTTAACAAATAAAAAAATCAAAAAGAGAATATTTTACTCCTTAAATAATTTAAATTCGAACAATTGTGTTGCAAGTATAATAAAAATAGAAAAAAAATATGAAGATAATATCCAAAGGTTTACCGACTCAATACATTATATTGCATGAATATTCCACATGTCTAGATTTAAATGGTCTCTCTCTCTCTCTCTGGATATATGCATGCCTTAATTGTTTGAAAATTGGAGCCAAAAGAAAAAGGGAAGTAATTTTGAATCCAAGAAGCATGCTTGAAGATCATATTCATGCACTGATCACCGATATGTGTTTGACACTTTTGATGATCCGGTCTGTTGGACTTAGTGGCGGATTCAAGAATTAAAAAATGGGGGTCCAAAATAAATATTATAATGTTCATTAATAAAAAAAGTTATATAATTAAAAATCTAAAATAACAATTCATTCAAAAAGCACAAAAAATTACTAAACACTAGAAACAATTACAATTGTTCTCGACGAGCTTTCATTCCTTGAAATCGTTTCAAGATTTTTTTTCATCATCGATTTGGACAAGAACATCTCTTTCTATATAAGTGACCAAACAATCATTTAGAAATTGATCACCTATGCTATTTCGCAACTTATTCTTCACGATGATCATTTTAGAAAATACTCTTTCCACACTTGCGGTTGCTACGGGGAGAATCAATACCAACTTTATGAGCAAATAGACTTGTTGGTACACTTGATGCTTCTTTGTCTCGACAAGCTTCATGGAAAGTTCACCCATATCTTTCAATAACCAAAATCTATCATCCCTCCGCATATCAACAATACAATTATCAAGTTGATCATCAAGGGCTATTCTATCAACACTTGTAAATTCATCGAGATATAATTCGGCAAGTCTAAGTATCTTTTGTTTGTCAAAAGAAGAAAATTTATCAAGTGGACTCAAAGAAGCCATACAAGTCAATAACTCTATACTAATCTCATCAAATCGGTTGTTTAACTCTTGAAGCTGAAGATCAATAACTCCCAAGAACACTTCAATTCGAAAATGATGAATATTAGTAGTATCCAAACGACAACGTTTCTTTCTTCCCGGAGGAGTATACACAACATCCATATTAAGAATATCAATGTTATTCTTGTTACAAAATGAAGTTAAATTAGCAAAAAAAGACTCCCACTCGTTTTCCCTCATATTTTGCAATCTTTCTTTAGTTAAAGTAACAAGTGACATAGCATTGACAATATCTTGATCTTTTCTCTGTAAAGCTTTGTTTAATTCATTCATAATCCCAAATATTCTCTTCATCAAGTGAATCGTGAAAATGAAATCAAATGACTATATTGCAAAACTCACATTATCGGTTTTTCGAGCATCATCACCATTTCGAGCATCATTACCAATTAAATCAAGCACCTCATGTATTGTATAATACAAATCAATCACATTCAAAATCAACTTATAATGAGACCCCCAATGTGTATCACCCGGTCTACCTAAACCAAGCTTTTGGTTTAAACCTTTTCCAGTCACAATTTCACCATTTTCAAATGCTTTTGCAATTTTTTCAGCTTGTTTTCCTTTAAGCAAATCTTTTCGCCTACATGATGATCCAACAACATTCAACAAATCTCCAAGTGTATCAAAAAGCCAACCACAATCTTTATTTTTCTTAGAAACGACAACAATAGTTAATTGAAGTTGGTGAGCAAAACAATGTATGTAGTGTGCAGATTGTGTTTCTCTCATGATTAGAGTTTTGAGACCATTAAGTTCACCCTGCATATTACTAGCTCCATCGTACCCTTGCCCAAAAATTCTTGAAAAACTCAAAGAATGCTCATCAAGCAAAGAAAATATAGCTTCTTTAAGAGACAAAGATGTGGTATCTCCAACATGAACAATTCCAAGAAACTGTTCCTTTATCATTCCTTTTTTATCTACATAACAGACACACAAAACCATTTGTTCTTTTTGAGACACATCACTTGACTCATCTACTAGTATTCCAAAATAATCTTTACCAAGATCTTCCACAATTGCCTTGGTAGTTTCTTTTGCACAACAATTTATAAGCTCTTTTTGCATCAAAGGTGCAATTATTTGATTAGTTTTAGGTGCATTTTTCAAAACAACATTTCTCACATCATCATTCTTTTCCACAGTCCAATTCAAAAGTTCAAGAAAATTTCCCTTGTTACTTGATTCATCACATTCATCATGAACACGAAATGCCAATCCTTAATGTAAAAGAAATCTCAAACAATGAAGAGAAGTAGTCAAGCGGATTCGGTATTCACTTTTAGCTTGCTCGGTTTGTTGGTCTAAAGAAACTTTCAAGGATGACTTAAAGTTCTTTAAATTCTCAAACTTTTGAAAAGCTTGATTATGAGCACTATTAATTCCACCAACATGTTTTCTAAACCAAACTGGCCTATTCCCCATTAACAAAAAATGCATCTCCTCCTGCAGCTTTGGTAGTTTCATTCTTAAACAAGTAACAAACAAAGCAAAATGCAACATCTTTTGAAACACTATACTCAAGCCAAGAATACTTATTAAACCAAGATTTATTAAAGCGACGTAATGTACCTACTCCGAAGTCCGTTTGAGGAAATTTGTGCTTCTTTGGTTGGCAAGCACATTTTTGTATGTATTCTTTCCTCACTGCTTATCGATCCATTGGATGATAATCAATAATTTTTTCCTTTTAGCCGGATCATGTGGAATAGAGATATCATTAACTTGGCTTTTCATATCTCTTGATGCAAATGTTGTACTATCATCTTGTGCAATACATTTAGATCTCATTTTGGTTTCTTGAGTTTGGGGCATATTATTTGAAGGGAAAGAAAATTCTTGTTCGACTTGAGTTGCTGAAGGTTGAGTCGGTGATTAGACACAAATTGGCACTTGGGAATAACTTGCATTATTCTTTTTGAACTTTTGAACAAACCAATCCAACGTTCCATTCTTCTTCTTTCGTTGAGAGTTCATCTTTTCATCATTCATCTTCTTACTACTACAATTACAAAATTTACAAATCACAATAATTATTGATTATAATTCACTATTAGTAATTATATTTATTATCAAAGAAGTAAGATCTTAATTACTAATTAAATAATTTTAATGGATTCAACTTAAAAATTAAAATATCAAAATTGCTTCTACTTAAATTACACAAATTTAGTATACCTTTTTTTCTCCATCCCAAAAATACATATTAGTAATTTTACATATCACAATTTAACATTCAAATATTTTTCATAAAATACTAAAATCTATTAAATTGATTCAAAATTTAATTTTATCTCTTAATTTTAACTCACTCAAATAAAAATAAATAAATTTCAAAACTTAAAAACTCAAATATAAATTTAACTAAATTTAAGAGGGTAAAAGAATGACTGAAGAACCTAACTATTTGAGGAAAAGAAATGAGCAACAACTTATCGACGACTTGGTTGAGGAAGTTCACCGAAAAATCGCCGGTGAACAGCGTCGTGGCAGGTGGTTTAGGCAAAAATAAAAGATTGAGAAATGAGAATTGAGTAGCAGTAGGGTTGGAGTTTGTGGGTTTGAACGCAAAGCAGAAGCTTTAGTATTAGTAATAGCTTAAATGAAAGATTTTTAAATGATATATATTATTTTAATCAATAGTTTTTTAATTGAAAATATGAAATAGATTGACAGCTTCCTACTCACTCACAAACACAAATTTCAACTACAAAATAAAGTGTATAGAAAAGAGCACAAATTTCAACTACAAAACAAAGTGTGTAGAAAAATCAAAAAAAAAATAAAGGTGTGCAGAATTTTTAAATTTTAATAATATATATTAAGTGTTGTATTTTTTTAAGGAAAATAAGTATACAACTGCTAATTCGTGGGCCATATAAATCCGCCCCTAGTTGGCCTAAAAGATATTAGGCAGTGACTGTGAGTGTCCAAAGAGAATACGGCACAGCGACATCCCTGCATGGATCATAAGACATGTTTAGGCATGTCCCTGACACAAGTTGTTATTTAAAACGACCACGTTTTTGTTTGATTAAATCCCCAAAGTTGATTGCTCTTTGCAAGTGATTCACAATTTCTCATGCCCATCATCAATGTCTTAAAAATCAGATTAACATCTCGCTGTTCATGCACTTAATTAGTCCCACCTACCAGTCATCCTTTCTTCAGCTTACAGTAAGGCATAAGTCACTCAAGTAGTTGTAAAGAGCCTGCAACTTGCGAAAACAACCCCATCATGTCCACTCAGAAGACAAGAACACTCACATGCAACGCTGCAAAGCCAAAATAAGATATGCCGGATTGTCTACTCTACCAGCAACGTCCCATGTAGAGAATTATCTGTAAATATCGTTGATATAGAACGAGCTAGTTGAAATCTTTTCCAACCTGAAAATTACACAATCCGACATTAACCGTTGCCACTGCATCTTGGCATTGATGATCAAGACAGCAAAATTGCAGCATCATCAGTAGTAACAATATCAACTCATTTTTGACATTTCAATAAATGCCGATATATGCAGATATGGTGCCAGAGATTTTTTTTTCTTTTTTATGAAATTAGAAAAGAGAAGCCATGCGGGAAAGCCACATCTTCTTCGATCTGGATCGAGAACACCATACTAGGGCATCAGACATGAAAACATGGCTTATCCCATAAGGAAATATAGTGTATATGCAATTTGATTTGATTCTTTTTTTCTTCAACATGGGTAGATTTGAATGTAAATCAAGGAAAAGATGTGGATGTTTATGCAAGTATCAGCAACCTTACTGAAAAACATTGTTATTCATGCAAATAGCTATATACAAGCTTTAAAAGTCCCTAGGCTATATCATTGTGGCATAATTCCTTGGATATTACATTTCCTCTGCAACAGCCTTTCCAGGGTATGAAACATTCACATGCTTAGAAGAAATCCACTAGCCCACTCACATGCATTCCACTGGACACCTAAAGATCTCGACTGAAGGAAAACAAAAACAAAAAATAGTCCAGCTTCTGTGGCAATGGGAAGGCCACGACAGCCTGCTTTACCTTTTAAAAGTAATCCCAAAGACGGGGCATACAGCTATCAATTTTTTTGGGAGCAAATCGTTGCCTCACAAGCAGGCGATTCCTAAAGTTCAAAACCCAACACGTGGGTTAAGAGAGGTGAATCACCTTGGCGACTTCATCAAACAATGGGTTCATGCAACTGACTCTCCAAGGCCCAACATAATCGACCCAGACCCACGAAACAACCACCACGTTTCCCCATATTGTTTACGGTTTACCCAAGTTACAGACCAAGCTCTTGGTTATAATAAATTACCAAGACCCCCTGGGAAAGGTCATTGGTAAATTTGGACATCAGATTTGAGAAAGTTAACTTCAACTCAAAGCATGCTATTTTTTGTTAATGTTTTTCCTTTAAATGTCGATTACGATAAATCACAAAGCCTATGCTGTGATGATCATAGAAGAACAAACTTTTGCAGAATAAAATCAACAAATCAAATGCAAATGAAACACATTCAAAGGTAGGGGGGATTAAGTTTGAATGCAAACAAAAGCTATGCAAAACTTAAATAAATAAACAGAAAATTTAAAAACAATTGGAAGATATAAAGAAATGGGACTATTTCCTTTACCACATTCATAAGAAGAAAAAAAGGACAAATGGATTACACTGGTTTATTTAACAAGTATTTACTCTTTAGTTGTGTGACAGAGCAACTAAATGGAGCACAGAGTTACTTTCAGTACCACCTGTAAAATTGGTTGAAGAAGAAATTATTTTCCATTTCAGCCAAGAAAGCACCAGATCAAACATTTGCCTTTTAAATTGACAAACACTTGCAGGTTGTAAATTGACAAAAAGTGACAACCAACAGAAATTAGATATTGAAAACAAAGTTTCCAGAGAACTGGTTTCAAGATAAACATCACAATACTAACGGAACATCAACTATGCATCAATATTTTTTGCTAACGTGAATTCGCAACTACTTGCAGAGCTGCTCAACGGCAGTCACAATCTGGGCAGGCTGAACGACAGTTACTTCCTCCAGTGTTCCGGCGTATGGTGTAGGCACATCCTGTGAAGATAAGCACACAATTGGGGCATCCAAATAATCATTGAAATTCTCCGTAATGGCAGCTGTCAGGCTAGCACCAATACCGCCAGTCCGCATGCACTCCTCCACAATAAGAACACGATGAGTTTTCTTAACTGAGTTACCAATGGTGTAAAGATCAAATGGTTTCAAAGACCTAATATCAATTACTTCGGGATCATATCCCTTGTTCACCAAAGTTTTAGCAGCCTGCATCACATGATATCTCATTCTTGAATAGGTTAGAATGGTGACATGTTCTCCAGGCCTTACCATCTCAGCTTCCTCAAGATTACAGATGTAATCCTCATCTGGGATTCTCTCCTTGAGGTTATAAAGCAAAACATGCTCAAAAAGGATAACAGGGTTCTCACTTCTGATTGCAGCCTTCATTAAGCCTTTGGCATTGTAAGGGGTTGAGCAGGCAACCATTTGGATTCCAGGGATCGACTGAAAGTATGATTCAAGACGTTGAGAGTGCTCAGCCCCTAGTTGACGTCCAACACCACCAGGCCCACGAATAACTATTGGTATGGTAAACTGACCACCAGATGTATAATGAAGCATACCACAATTGTTGGAGATCTGATTAAAAGCAAGGAGGAGAAATCCCATGTTCATACCCTCAACAACTGGTCTCAAACCAGTCATAGCAGCTCCAATTCCCATGCCAGTGAAGGAATTCTCAGCAATTGGGGTATCAAGAACCCTAAGGTCTCCAAATTTTTTAGCCAGTTCTTTGGTCACTTTGTATGAGCCTCCATAGTGACCCACATCTTCACCCATCACACATACACGGGGATCCCTCTCCATTTCTTCTTCTAAACCCTCTTGCAGAGCTTCAAAAAGTAAAAGCTCATGCCTAGAATACAAAATACATCTAGTTAAATATATTTTAGAATTGCAAGAGGGTTAACGACATGGATAACTAGTATGACTGTAACATTTGTTCACGAAAAAGCAAAACAACAAACATGATTGTGATAACTAGTATGACTGTAAAATTTTAAAATTGCAATGTAACTCCATTGCAACACACAGAAACAGAAAATATTGATACACACACATACGAAAACCTATCCGCATACATACATAGATGCAGACATGAATACACCCAGGACTCAAGTCACACAGAAATGGATAACTAGTATGACTGTAACATTTGTTCACGAAAAAGCAAAACAACAAACATGATTGTGATAACTAGTATGACTGTAAAATTTTAAAATTGCAATGTAACTCCATTGCCACACACAGAAACAGAAAATATTGATACACACAAACGAAAACCTATCCGAATACATACATAGATGCAGGCATAAATACATCCTTTTAATTTATCATCTGACATACATGTCGACAAC